TCTCGATCTATACGAGCTGTCAGAATGCCGGCAAAAGCCAACATGTGTGTCCACTCTGCTGTGACTCTCAGACACCCGATATTAAGGTATCGGGTGTCTGAAAAAGGTTAACCCTTTCAGTAATGGATCTCTAGATAGTTAGACATCTATTACTGAAAGGTAACCGCTGATTCTCAGCGGTTAGCAGCCTTCTAGTGCAGCAAATAACTCGTCACGTACAGTGTACGTGACGAGTCATTTGGTCCCTTTGTGGCTGGACGTACAGTGTACGTCTCCCGTCACGAAGGGGTTAAAGCAGAACTATTTTTTTATGCAAATGCTGGTTAAAAATAGTGCATGTAAACTTGCAAAACTGAAGGGAATTCATCAAAACTGGAGCAGATAAAATCTGGAGTAGCTGTGCACGGCAACCAATCAGCCTCTGTTTCATTTTCAAATCTAAACTGAAGAGAGAAGCCAATTGGTTGCCATGCACAGCTGCTCCAGATTTTGTCTACCCCAGTTTTGATAAATTCCCCACTATGTGTCTTGTGGCTTTCATAATAGGTTCCCCGGCTGCTTTGCAGGCATAGCAGAAGGATCTTGGATTCTCCATGACCTAATGATTTGATCTCTGCTGGCTGAACAGCTCAATGGTCATAGGCTTACCATAGCACACTCTAGGTATGTAATTTTGCTCCATTTGTATAAGGGGCAGTTGTGGAGTTCATCACTGCACAGAACAATATGCCTCTCCTGCCATGTTTTTTCCATAGAAACATGAAAGAGTGGCAGCATAAAAAGACCAAATAGTGCCCTGCAGCTGCCCCTTTTTTTTTTTTTTTTAATAGTCAGCTGCATTTAGAAAAACAAGTGGCTGATAAAAGAGGAGAAAGGGAGAATTAGGGAGGGGATAGAACCACCCAATTACATCACCAGTTCCTGGCAAAGAACGGAAATAGTTTCTACAGATAACTTCCTGTGACGATTAAATCACTTCCCTCAGACAGCAGTGCTGCCATGAACACTTCCCATTAATGCTGAGGATAGATAATAGAGCAGACTCTGCAAGGTAGCATATAGCTAAAGCAAAATATGGATAAACCCAAAAAAAATTACAGATTTAAAAGTGTGCATACATGTTCTATTTTGAACTTGCTTTGCATAAAAAAAAAAAAAAGTATTTTGATTTAAAGTTTAAGCAATGGTATTCATATATCAGTGATTGGCTAAATGCCCAGGACTTCTGATTTTCATACAAGCAAAAACAAGATATTTTCTATCACACGTATGATACAAAAGCCCTGTAGCAACTCTTTTCCCTTCCCATTTGTATACTTCTCTAGTATATTTTAACTTACCGAGGATATCTTAGCAACGGCCTTTATTTGCCCTGGAGAGTGTGCTTGGGCCTGTATTTGAGGTACTTGTACCTGGGCAGTAGCCTGTTGTCGAAGCAGCTGAAACTGAGCTGGGGATATTGTTTTGCCAGCTAACTGAACGCCAGGGGTAGTGGTGGCTAAAAAAAAGATAACAGATGAGTTAAAAAGAAAAAAAGGAAAGCTGTGCTTATAAGGTATTAAAAAAAACATTAAATATGCTACCTGTTGTTACTTGGGTCACAATGGCTCTTGACTGAGTTTGGACAGGAGTAAGGTTGGTAGATACCACAGTCCCTGCAGTCACAGCTCGAACTCCTGGACTGGTTGCAATGGTCACCATCTCTGTGGGTGTTGTTGCTGTCCTCTGCTGAACTAACTGCCCAGTGGCTGCTCCAGTAGACTGATAAGAAAGATTTTATATGGAAACGGCGTTAAAAAGTAGATGTCCTACAACAAACATCACGTTAAACAGAAGCCAAAATTGCAACATATAACTAAACTTTCAGACAATTATCAAGTATGTCTAATATGGTCAGTAGTAAACCATGATTTAAGCATTTTATACAAATGCATGCAGATATTGCATACAGGTCTAGGATGCAATTGCCAAAAACAGAGGAATGAATAGGAAACATTTACCAATTCTCTCATACAGCAATGCACTGCTAAATGAAAACAATGACACAGATTCATGGTAATAAGGCAGCTTCATTGATAAATTCCTCCCTTTGCAGCTCTAATGAAGCAACAAAATAAAACCTGCCACTAACCACTTGCTAAAGAATAATAAAACTTCAAAACAAAGCGCACTTATTCTTTTTTGATCCTTTTGGCCGAACCTAACTTAACCCACGCTATGGAGCTAAGAGGGCTATGGGTCTGCCAGGATGTGAACACCTGAGGCCGCAGACAAAGGAACAAAGCTAGTAAGTATCTGTGAACAGGGAAAGTGGGTTAAGGTAGCTCAGGGCAAAAAAAGTGAACTTTGATTTGGGTCCCAAATCTCTTTTTCTGCAGCTGTTCTGAATGAAAAGAAAGCACTCAGTACAGAGGCTTTCTAGTCATTTATAAACTGAGGAGGCAGAGTACTCTCCCCAGTTATGTAGTTGTGCTCTGTCCATTTAGAAACTCAAGAACGAACAGGAAGTGATGTAGAACACTTCCCGTTTATTCAAACTGGGGGCACATACTATGTGCCGATTCTGAAGGAAGATAAAACATTTAAACATCAAGGAGCAGCACCCATTGTAAGTGATTAAATCAGCATCTGGGAAAGCTTAAAAAGCTTCTGACTTTAATATCACTTTAATGTACAAGAAAATAAACATATTTTCTAGGTTTTGAGGGAGAAATGTAAAATCTTTGTCAGGTTTTTAATGCAGATATGGCCCTGCTGGAGAAATAAACCCTTACAGTTTGCCCTGGCTATCATTTTGGAGGAAATCCAAAATTATGTATCTGTCACAGGGGTATACATGATATCTTCCAATGAAGAGACCTGCTCTAATGACAACCATTCAGAGATGAGTGTTTTCTTCACTTTCTATTGTGCCTCAAGGAGAGGATGTAATGTGAAATCTCCCCAATGATCAAAAAGACAGAAATAAAAACATGAGAGGTTCTAAACCTTCCTCACTCTATATAAAAAAAAAAGTTTGGCTGGAGTTCCATGTAAAACTAGGAAAATAACATGCAAAAAGATTATTCACCTGACAGAAAACTACATTTAAGCCATATAGATTAACTTTCTGACTCTTTTCAGAATGTTTTAGGAAGAACTTCTCTACCGAAGCCACCTATTTTATCAGATAACAATCTAATGTCTAAGGGTGGCCTAACCAACCGCAACAAATCAAATTCTGTTTACTTCAGTCAGATGATAAAATAGATTATTGGATCATTGTGCTTAGCTATTGTAATTTTGTAGATATCATAAGATGTTATTAAACACTTACTGAAACTGTACCAGTTACCACTGGAGACACCAGTCGCTTGTTGATAGGTTGGAAGGTTGCAGATGGAACACCGGCCACTCCTGACACAGTGTTTACAAGAACATTTGCAGTGACAGTTCCTAAAGTGTAAAGGAAATGTGTTATCAAATACTTACATAAGTACATTTATGTCATCACAAAAGCAACCCTCTAAAACAGATGATCATACACATATATTCGGTGTGTTATACTTTTGGTGTAGATATGAGGGACAGGCAAGGGCACGTGTACTGTTGGATTCATCAATTCAAGTTATTTCTACGGTAGAATTCTCATGAAGTGCCGCTTCTTTGTGGCACTTCATATAATTGTGTTTTCTTGATAGTGACTTTCTATTGCTGGTCCTTTCTTGGCACTCTTGTGCCATTTTTAGATTAATTGTATATTTTTTTTAAACTCATTATCATTTCAGTTTTACCGTTAATATATTTCTGTTAATTTAATAGTTTAAGATCTATATTTATGTCAGCTTTCTATTTCTCTACATTCGTAAATGTACATATACACCAAAACAACACAGATGAGACAACATGGTGCAGGCTTTCACACACCAACAAGTAAGTTACTATGACTTTGCACTGACCTGTAGCTATGGTTGTTCCTGGTACTGCAGCCTTGATGGTGCCAGTCTGCAACAACAAAAAACATTCCATTTACATGACTGCAATGTATTATGCCATAACCCAAATCAAAATCTGAATAAGGTATTTCATTTTTTTTTTGTTAAATCAAGCTGCAATGCTATGCAGATGCAGTAAAATATACCTCAGTCAAAAGAAATAGTAATAGTTACATTTGGAAACCAATTTAAAACTAAAGTTCCCACAAAATTAAACACTTACAGTTTAAAATACTGCCAAGATTTATGCAGCACTTTGTAGGGCCTCGCTCACTCATTTACTCCAAAAAATAGGATTTTGGTACTCACCGTAAAATCCTTTTCTCTCCGTTCATTGAAGGACACAGGGAACAGATCGGAGATCATGTACTGTAGGGTAATATCGCCACCTGCAGGAGAAGGAAAGTTAAATCTGAAATTATTTAGCCAACAGAGCTCTGATACCTGCAGTAATACCCACCAAACAGGGGGTGCAGCTTATAGACACTAGTTATCCAAGTCACACTGCAGTGCAGTTTTAGTTCTGATTTACACTGCAAAGCCTTTCAGCTTTACTACAGTGCATAGCTGCTTTGCAGGGGCAGAACTTGACCTTTTAAGAGGTCACCAGTCATAGACATTGCAAACCTGACCACTCAAGATAGTTGTTCAGTTTCTTGATACCAACTGACCAGGGCAGTATTTACATCTTACAGCATTCATTGCTCTGTCAGGAGGACAGGAAGACAAGGCTGGCTTAGTGAGTAAAAACCAGTCAAAAAAAGACCCAACATCCTGCCTTTCTCAGGAGTACTGTGTACTCCCCTAATTAATCTGCAAATGGTACTAGAGGATATTATTGGCAGACTTTTTGATAACAAGTTTGTACCTTATGTATATATTATATACATATGTATCTTGGTAGTTTAAAAGCACATCCAATGCCTGGTGCAGATTTTTTATTTTATTTTTGCAAGTACAGAGTCCTTTATGATCTTTAGCTGTCCACATACATGTAAAATGTTTAAGTGCTAATGTTCTGACCATTAGCATGACTTACAATGAGTGCTGGGGTGGTTATAGGTGTTGTACCAGTATTAGGATTCTTGGCTGCAGGTTGCTGCTGAACCACAACTTGTGCTTGAGTAACGGCAGGAGCGGGTGTCTGAGCCTGTGCTGTCTGCACAGCTGCCGGTGGGGTTGGTTGCTGTCCATTTTGCTGTGGCAATGGTCCAGATTGCTGCTGTGCTCGGACCTGCTCCAAAGCCTTTAAAACAGCATGGTAAAGTTTCTCAGTTAAATATAAGTTCTGAAAGCATGCACATCCCTAATACTAAATGGACAAATACACAGTATTACAATAACCCACCTTCTTTTCTTTGGCTATACGATCTGCACGCAATGAAGCCACTTGAATCGGTGGCAATGGCTTGTCATAGTTAATGCCACTAGAAACAAATTACAAATAAAAGGAAATCATGAAATAAACGGTTTGTTTAGTGTATATATTTGTGTGCCTTAAGGCAATTTTGAAATGTTACCTCTCTGAAAGGACAGATGCATGCTTGGGATTTTTCTGGAATGGATTCATACCCAGTCTGAAATGTATAACCATTATTAAAATATGGAACTCAATAATTAATCTCATAAACATTTAAAACCAAGACAGGTAGAGGTACATAACGGGTGAAAAGGCGTTTGATCTTTAAATGCATTATATTAAGTGTTATATATTATGTAGCATCGCTGTGTGGTAACAACATAAAAGGTAAACCTGAGCAGAAAAGAATACAAAATAAAACTTGATAAACTAGCTTAATAAATAAAAAATCAACTGTATTCATAATACTTTGCCTAACATGCTATTTATATGAAATATATATATAAATTATAGTCATAATATAATGTCCTCATGCATATTTCATGGCATTGCTTCACTTACAGAGGTTTGATAGGTAGACTTCTCTTTCCAGCTGTCATTTTCATTAGGTCAAAGCGAGTGGTGAACAATTGCAAGTGTGATTGTCCCTCGTCTTGTGCATATATTTGGCTCGTCCTTAGGGGTTTATTCTTTAAAAAAAGGAAATGACCACAAATGAGTTCAGGTTGTAATCTATGCAATCAAGTAGAAAAGTCTTTAACAGAGACAATCAGCTATAAAAGAAGCAATACTGTTGCAAGCATTTGCAATTATATTTATTCTTCAGAAGGAGGATGCTACAGTAGTATACCGTTTCATTGTATACAATTAAAGATTTTAAGTATCTTTCCACTTGATTTCACTCATTTCACATACAACTTTTGCCTAACCTTATAGATCAGGGGTGCCCACCATTTTTGTGTTAAGATCTACTTTCTAAATGACGAGCTACATGAGATCTACCAACGAAAAAAAAAACCTCCCTCGCTCTCTCTCCTCGCTCATCCTCCTGGCTGTCTTTCCTTGCTCTCTCTCTCCTGGCTGTCATTCCTCGTTTTCTCTCCTGGCTGTCTCTCTTCACTCTCTTGGCTGTCTCTCCTCTCTCTCTCCTGGCTCACTTTGCTGTATTTTGCAACAGGCTGTGTAAACTAATATTCCTTGATTTAATACATAGCACTTCAACCACCAGTATCCACCAGAAAGGTGTCAGGGAGCTTGGCTCAGCAGACTCAGGCTAATAGGTAATCATGTGTGCACCGCTAAATAAATATACCAAAATGGAATAAAGGGGCCACCATTCACACCCTTCGTGATCTACCAGCATCAGCTTTGAGAGCTACTGATAGATCATGATCTACCTAATGGGCACCCTGTTATAGATAGTCTAAAGGTGAATGTTATAACTCATTTGGAAATAGGGCTGCAACTAATTATTTTCATAATCTATTAGTTGGCCGATTATTTTTTTGATTAATTGGATAAAAATAATTAAATAAGTATCATCCTTAATTCAAAATAAAATACACAAACGCAGTGTTACAAATATGAAGTTTACTTCAGAATAAAACTGCATACACAATTTTTTGCAATTGCACTGCACTGGAACACACAGCATTACGGTACCGTGCCTTCCAGTGGGGGCGATCACACTGCGAGTGGGAGGAGTGTTTGGGGTGCCATTGAAATGAATGCCACTGCAATGCACCTGCAGAATTTGTCAGGCCAAAATTTAAAATTACTTGTTTTCCCACCTTGTATAACTTTTTTTTTTTTTAAATAATTGTATTGTAAGCACATGGCGTTTGAATAGCTTCAGCCAGGGAATGACAGCTGCCAGTGGCAAGATTCTGCAGACGGCAGGTGAATATAAATACAGCAGGCAATGGGCGGGTGCAATAGCCAGCCTGCCACTGGCCATTTCAAATTGCAATAGCATGCTATCTTTTAGACCTGCCCACCGATTGCTTTGCCCTTTTCCCAGCGTAGAAAAGAGAGGTAGGGGATCCAACCAACTAATTGAAAATGAGATTAGTTGACAACTATTCTCATAATCAATTAGTTGGTTGCAGCCCTCTTTGAAATTACAGGAAACTCTCCAGTTATCCAGCACCCACAGGGATTGATAGGTGTCGGATAACTGTAGTTTTTGATTGCTTGAGTTAATAGTAACTCTCAAGCAGCCATCCCCAAGCCCCAGTCACCTGCTGGCTAGCTGCCACAGCCAATAGGTTAATGTAAGCACCCGGGAGCAATAGCCAGACTGCTATTTGAAATAGCCAATAGCTGCCTGGCTATTGAAGCCCCACCCACTGAGCAGAAAGTTCTCTCTCAGGTCCACTCCTCTGCTCAGTGGCTGGGTGTAATAGCCTACCTGCTATTAGCTATTTTAAATTGCAATAGCAGGCTGGCTATTGAATCTCCACCCACTACGCAGAGGAGCAGACCTGAGAGAGAAAGGTACACTCTTCTGCTCCGTGGGTGGCTGCAATAGCTGAGCTGCTATTGCAATTTGAAATAGCCAACACAGCAGGTTGGCTATTGCTTCCAATTTTTTGCATTCTGCTGCCTACTGAGGAATCTACCCCCAGGCCTGCAGAAAGCTGTAAACAAAAAAATTTGTTAGCAACTAAATAAGTTTAGTTGACAACAAAAAAATTTTTGTGTGGACAAAGCAACCGACAATTTTATAGTGTGTATCAAGCCACCGGCAAAAAAAAGGACATATTATTGTCCTCAATTTTTTGTGCCGGTTGCTTAAATGCCAGATAACGGGGAGTTTACAGCATTAATATCCACATACCTTAAACACATTTTCTGACTTCTTTTTTGGGCTTGCATCAAATAGCAACTGCAAAACAAAAAAGGCTATTGAGAGCGTATTTTAATTAATTAGGTACTATCATAAGAAGCACTGCGTCTGAAACATTTCTAAATGGCAGCAAGGAATAAAAACTGTGTTCAAGCAACTAGTCCGTTTATAATTCTTAGATGGGGATTAGGAATCATTAGAGTTCCCCTAGGGCGTGAACCCCTGACTGCTAGGAAAATAACTCAATTAAGTGTATGCAATGTGCTCATTCCCTGTGAAACAGCAAATGACAATAAAATCAGTGGTTAAAAAAATAAATCTGTCAAATTTCTGCCTAGGAACCTTACATTCCATGCACAGTTAAACCCATTTACATTGCATTTTTTGGGGCAAATTCTCAATTTATAAATTACATCTGTGTTATTTGTTGTTTTTAAATAATTTACATTTATCTAGCTCACAAAAACACCCATAAACTTCGTTTCAGTAGTAAAACTTTACAGCGATGGTGTACCTGGCAGCATAATGTTGCCAGTGGGCTGTAAAGCACAATCTATTAAACAAACTGTAATGCTGGTAATTATATCTGATAAGATCAATTTTTCTCAACATTGTCAATCATGAAAATGTACTATGTGATTGTGGCAGGGCAGCAACAGGCCATTAAAACTACACATACTATACAGCTGGTCAGGTAGGACATTGAAAAGATGAACATCACTCAGTCCATTAACCTGGATATGATCAAAGCAAATAATACAGGGGTGTGGAATTCCTATCGCCCGGCGCCCGGGACGTCTGCTCTACGGGCTCTCTGTGTGTTCTCTGAGACAGTGGCGCTGTAATCACAGCGCCACCTGTCTCGGCTGTCAGGAACTACACAGAACAGCTGTTCTGTGTTGGAGGGCAGGTTCCATAAAGAGAACCTGTCACCGCTAAACTATCACATAAGGGATTTTAATCCCCTATGTGATAGGAAGAACATTAAGTGGAAAAAGTAAATAAATACAAATTTAAAGAAAAGTTAAAAAAATTCTAAAATATATAAAGATAAAAAAAAACAACAAATTTTTAAATGAAATCCTGCTGCCCCCGCTATCTGCATGCGGATAAACGCATGCGGATAAACGCATGCGTAGGACATTCTGCATGTGCTTTGAGATTGCAGCTGCCATTCCATGGTGGTAGCCAGAATTCTCTTACACACACACAATGTGCATTAAAGGGTAAGTTCATTTTCCCAGGTAATATGGAAAAATAAAAATTACCCGATGAAATCTGGCCACGTCTCTCCCAAACCGCCACCCCCCTGGCTATACTTACCTTTCGGCGAACAATCCCTCCCCTCCGCCAGTATGGGTGTACTATCTGTCCCCCGTACTGCTGTCCAGCGCAGTCCTCCCCTAGGCATTTTGAATTTCGCTCGCAAATTGCAAGCACTAATTGGTCAACGCGGTCAGATGACTGCGCTGACCAGTGAGAAGCGCTATTTAGCACAGTCAAGTATGTTTTGATTAGGGGTGCACCGATACTAGTATCAGTGCCGATACAGAGTATTTGGGCGAGAACTCGTACTCACCCAAATGCTCCGATACCTTCCCCGATATTGGAACTTATGGCCAGATGAAAATTTTCTCTGACTGGCAGTGCCGTAGGGGAACATGGAGCCAGCTTCCAATGCAATCAGAAAAGCCGTGCAGCAAGTAATGACCCGCCTCCTGGTTTTCTGATTGGCCGGGAAGCCGACTCCTTGCTGATTGGCTGGAAAGCCGGCTTCCTGGCCAATCAGCATCGAGCCAGTTTCCCGGTCAATCAGGTCATTACTTGCCACCCAACTTCCTGATTGAACGGGAAGCAGGTTTCCGGCCAATCACAATAAAGAAGGCCAAACCACATGGAGAACACGGCTTCCGTGGCAATCAGGAACCTAGGCGGTATGTCTTTACCCGCTGCCCGGCTTCCTGATTACCAGGGAAGCCTGCTCCATGCCAGCGGAAGCACCGATATTAGTATTCAGTGTCGGCGAGATCCGAAAGCAAAGAATCGGCACTCGATACCGAAAAACCGCTAAAAAAAACAATTTTTTTTGTACTGGAACAAGTAGATTGTCATGAAGGACAAGTAGATTTGGCCCCCGCTTTAGCCCTTGGACAAGTAGGTTTTTTTTAACATTTCCACACCCCTGTAATACAATAGTTGGTCAATGCTTAGATTAAGAGTCCGGACTGCTATATGAGTAGTCATTGTAAAACTGTGACATGGGTTTTTAAATTTTTACAGAAAAAAAGTGATCAATAAGTATGTGCCAACGAATCTAAACTGCACGGCTTAAATAGAAATGAAGGTAAAAAAAATAAAAATAAAATATACAACACTATCCGTTAGAAGTTCCTACTATGTAAAAGTGTTGACAACACTGCAGTGTACCATATAGAGCACTTACTTTCCCTTCCTCTCTTGGAATGATGACATTTTCATAGCGGGTGCGGCACTGCTTGGATGAACGGTAGATGCGACTGCAGGAATTCACTACGTCGCTTACCAGATCCCAGTTTGGTGTATCAGCAGGGGACACAACAGAGAGGTTGAGAGGAAGCTCCAGCAGCTGTTTCACCGCCTGCAAAATTGTACATGGTAGAGTTTACATAACAGAATTTAAAGACTGAGCGACCTTCTTTTAGTGCAAAAAACACATATACATATACACACACATCAGCCATAACAATATGACCACTGACAGGTGACGTGAATGTCATGGATTATCTCAATACTAGGGATGCACTGATACTGATACTAGTATCGATATCGGTGCCGATTCTGAGTACCGTATTTTTCCGTCTATAAGACGCCCCCAACTTTTCTTAACCAAAATTCCGAAATCAATATTTTAAATGGTATAATGCATCACACTTACCTCAATCACGTTATGCTCCGACATTACAACTCCGGGCACTGGCTACACGCTCTCCCGAGAGCTGGCTGGCATCAGGTACAAAAGATTTATGATCGGATTACAGAGACAAGATAACAGTTTTCCTCCAATCATAAATCTTTTGTACCTGACGTCAGCTGTTGCTGGGGAGACAGCTGACCTCAGGTACAAAAGATTTACGATTGGAGGAAAACTGTTATCTTGTGTCTGCAATCCGAAGTTTCACTCGTGAGGCTACGGTAGTTTGCAGTGGTATCGGCACTTTCGCAACCCCCTCTCGGCCACCGTGTATAAGACGCCCCTCTATTTTTAGGTAAACATTTTATTGAAAAAGTAGCGTCTTAAACACGGAAAAATACGGTATTTGGGCGAGTACCCGTACTCGCCCAAATGCTCCGATGCCTAGCACGAGTACTTTCCTATATCAGGAAGCCGGGCAGCATGTAATGAAGTTTTCCGATTGGCTGGGAAGCGGCTCCATGCTCTCTCGTCACTTGTGATGAGAGAGCATGGAGCCGACTTCCCAGCCAATCAGGAAGCTGGCCTCGTGAGGTAAGGTTACATTACCTTAGTATGTGCAGCCTGTCACCCCCGGGGCCTCTACAGCACCCAGCCGGAGCGATCTGGTCGGCCACTCAGGAAGCCGGCCGCCGTGTAATGACGCGACGCCCTGCTTTTTGATTGGCCGGGAAGCTGGCTTCATGCTCCCTCGTCATCTCATGACGTGGGAGCATGGAGCCGGCCTCCTGGATATTTAAAAGCCTAATAAAATGTACAAAAGGGATCACATTTTAAAATAAACAGTGCATCAGCAGTGACCTAAAAATTGATAATAGACTAAATGACTTGAAGTTATTTTACTTTTAAAACATACTGGTATGATGAGCAATCACAGTTAAGAAATGCTGCCATGGTGTTATTCATCCAGGAGATTCTGCTGTATACGGTAAAGCCACCATACCTGTAGCAGTGCCCAGTCCTCGCTAATCAGCCACTCAGGGTTGTCTGGTCCAGTCTCCATAATTGGTTTTATGAGGGTTGGCAAAGGTTTTGCAAACTGGGTCTGCTGTTTCAGCAGAATGTTCTTCTTTTGCTCTTTTCCTTCTTTGCGTATCTTAAGTGGATTTGGAGCAGCTCTGTCAAAGAGGGAGCGAGGAGGCACAACAGCTTCTCCATGTCGCATCTTCTTCTTTCTGCCAGCCGCTGTAGCAAAGACCGATAAAAAAAAAACAATGTATCTGAAAACTGATATCTGAGATCTGATACAGAAAACTTCAATGCACAGTTTCATGATGTATCTGTTGCAATACGAAATATGTTCTATGCAGTATGAAAACTTCCCACTTGCAGTCACTGGAACTTACCTGCTGGATCAGTTTTGTGTCTCTTGCGTTCTTTCCTCACATAGACGGGGGGAAGTTTTGATTCTGGGATAAGGTTAGTATCATACATCAAACACATCACAGAATCAATATAGATGTCATTTTCATCTTGAGGGGGAGTTGGTGGCGTCCATATCTATGAAAAGAAGTAAACACCAATAAAGCCTGGACCTTCACTCATCTCTGACCAAGCATTAAGGAATAAATGGTCAAACAAATTAGAAAAAAAAAAAAAAACTCACTGGCATTATTTCTGTCTCTCCTTCTTGGTCATCATAAATAAAATCCTAGTAAGGGCAAACAAAATATTAGATATGGCTGGTCATAAAGGATATACATTATATTGTCAAAAGTTGCTTCTACTACTGCTTATAACATTGTCAAATGAAAGTACACATCTGTATAAAATGCATTGTAGAGGTCAAGGGTCTTGTTAGACTTTTTTTTCCACACAAGATTCACACAACTTTCTTGTTTTACAAATTCCAACTGAATACAACTAGGAAAATGTGTGACTCTTGGGTGAAAGTGGAACAATATGCAGCATGGATGCAAGTGGGAAATATTTTTCAACAAATGCCATGTGCCAAGATAAAATATAGTTACTTTCACCTGTGGCTCAGTACAAAAAATATTCAATGCTATACAATTTTTTGCCTAGGTCTCTAGCTATTACCATATTATAAGCATCTTCTCGTGTATAGGTCAGCAGCAACTCATTTTCTTCCACTTCCCATTCCATCCTTTCCTTTAATTCCTTCAAATGCTGTGAATCCCACTCTTTCTTAGCTGCATTTAGTTGCTCCTAGAAAAGAAAAGTCAAATGCCATGTTGGTCTTCTAACACCACTGTTTTGTCTTCCAAGAAGTATCAAGGCCATGTTACACTTGTGATCCTGGCAGGATCACACTGGAGTACACAGCATGGAGTGAAAACTCTGTTTGCATGTGCCACTCCATCGGCTGGCGGAGAGTTTTCAGCAGCGAGGGAGTGACACATACAAATTAATGTAGTATGGGCATAAGAATAAGTAGCAGCCACTTAAAATGTTTTTTGTTAACATCTTTATAAAATCCTGCTTCATCTTGTTGTTACTACTTTGAAAGACATCCACACTGTTGCTTGGTTTCTCCTAGCCGTCTTTAAACTATTGTATGCTGGACGTTGCAATGATGTTCATTTACCACTTCAACTAAAATGAGAAAGAATACCTCAATGTATCCAGGGTGGTCACTGCTTCCACGGACATGGAACAACTCCAAGTAATGTAGAGCATATTTCTCTATGGGCGTTAACTAGAAATAAATAAAAGAAAAGGAATGCTACTAGTACAGAGCATGTAATAGAATAAACAACTATACTGGCCATATAACACCGCATCTTACTTGCTGCATAAGGTCAGACAATTCCTGTAACTGTGAAGGTTCCTGGGTCTCCATAGGTTCTGAGTCACTAAAAAGGAAAATTCCAGCATTGGGCTTTGGTCCATCATGGTCAGCATATTCAGTGATGTATTCCTCTTGTCCAAACTCAATTTTGCCTAAAGCCTGTAAAACAGTATTAGAAGGATTTAAAAGGCTAGTCACAAAACTATTGTTAGTTTTAGGGAACCTAAGTATAGTAAAACATTACGTAAGTTAATTCAAGCAGTCGAAGAATACCAAGCCATGGCCAATTCTTATGGCACCAGCTCTTCAAGAACAGAGATGTCTACCCCAGTCCTTTAGTGGTTCAAAGAAGGCAGATTTGTGGGCAGAAAATAACTTTGCTTATGGAGATAAACATTGGTTAAGGTATTAACACCATGGAAATGCAGAAATCTTAAAACTGGTAGAATTAAGCCCCTGAGAAAAGAGAGTCTGACATCATAAATAGCCAACTAAAAAGATATGTACTTTAAAGCGTCTTTGTTGCTAAAATCGAACAGTAAATGAAATGTTTCCTTTACAAAAAGTGAATACTCAACTCTCCTGCATCATTCCAATAAAGATAAATTGAAGACTCTTCAGAAGCTGACACTATGGGTTGACAGGAGCAGCCAATGAATGCAGCGGGAAACCAGGCGATGGACAGTGCCTAAATGTCAGTTTCTCAAGAGACTTCATGTGGCGAATTAATTACAGAGGTGCTGGGCACCATGGGCAATGGAAGAGCTACTTTTTACTTTACAAGTAAACCCCATTTGTATTCACAGTTTGATTCGCTGTAACATAGACACTGCATTTAAGACATTTTAATAAATGACAAATAAACTGATTAAAACATTACAGATTATAATGTGCAGACTAAAGACTCAGGTAAACACATGGGCTTACATCCCTGTGGTCATACCTCTACAAATGGCTTTGCAACTTTGGCTGTGATGATGTCGGATGGGGATGGTTCCTGAGAGAGCAGAACAAACTCTTCAGCTCTCACCCTAAACCCAGAATCATCTTGTGGAGAACAAACTTCAAAAAGCTCCTGGATAGTTTGCTGAAAGAGAAGAGCAGAGTGGAAATGTCAAATATATTCTTCCTAATAAAGTGAATTGTATGTCTCAGAATATTATAAATTAATTTAAAGCCAATCTCCAGGCAGATATAAAAGACACAAACAGACGCAGTCTGCAATTAATTTAACCCATTCACAGCCAGACCAAATTAACACGCTAAAATACATTCTTGAGCTAAAGAATACATATAACTGCCAAAACATCATATTATATATCATTTTTTATTTTTCCTTCTGAAAGCACAGGCCCTGTTGAATAAAAAAGTGATCGTTTCAAGTGTTTATGTTGCAAAATATTTACACAACTGCTCATCAAACCTATATTTTTAGTAAAAAGTACATTTAAATAATTTGAATGCAGACAAATACCATTTAATCTTCCCAATTCTGTTTAAATATAAAGGATGAAATGGTGTTGAGTAAATAGATACCAAATATGTCAGGCCTGTAAATTCTGTTCACCCGCAAAATGGTGACAAAATACAATACTGAAAATTGTGCTACATATATCATTGGCAGCTAAGAGTTGAAACATCATTGAATTAAATAATTTAAAGTAGAAAGTGTAAGTACGTAAATTTGACCTCAGTCTCTTGCAATCCACTGTAAATTTAAACCTCAGTTAGAATGTCCAGCAGCATGTGCTAATATGGAGCATGCTGACCAAAGGAGAGATAACGTGACAACTAAACAATCCTGTGGGTGTTACCTAACTGCAGCAGAAAAAGATCAGGTCTCTTGCCTTGCTGGTGCTGTATACCAGGACTGTGTAAATGTTAGAACAGGATAATAAAAATCCTTTTGTATTTTATCCATGCATTTATCTGTTTACCTGAAGTTCAGCTTTAACAAAACATATGCAATGCTGCATCTACTTACCTGAGTTAGGAATGCCAGAGAATAATCGCTGCCCTGAGCTGCCACTTCTCGAATAAGATCCTTTGTGCCATTTCTCAACAGCTTCTCTTCTATGGAATTGGCACTCACAAGCCTAAACATGGAAATTAAGAAGGATATAGGTTTAATTTGCATGTATTTCTCATACAGAATATGGTTTGACAAAATTAAGGAAAATGCAGAGATTATATTTGCAAGAACAAAATGTTTTTAATTCAAGAGCTAAACACGTTAGTAAGAGGTCTTCCTCATGTCTGACACTTCTATTCTCTGCAATCATGAATGTCAAGAGGCACATCTGCCCACTGAAACATGTTAACCTGGATATAAACTCAAGAGTGCCAAAACATTGCCCCTACCATGTGTTGTGCATCAAACATATATTGATTCGGGTGCATATGGGAAAGACTGTAGGTCTAAACATACCATATGTGACAATCAGTCCTGCTCTGCATGTAGGAAGTAGTGGGAGCCAGAAAAGGATTACAGGTAATTACACTGACTGTACTATAGTTTATAAGCCTTATAATAATGTAATATGTAAACTATAGAGACCCTCGCTGTTCAGCACAAATCATAAAAATAACAGCAAGAATCACAGTACCTGTACACATGAATATCTTTTGCTCTTCCGATGAGATCACACCATGACTGTGCCTTTCCATCCATCACAGGGTTTAAATCACTGTCATAGAATATCACAGTATCTGCTTCTACATGATGCACCCCTAAAGAACGAATGTGAGTTGACAGCACCATAGAGAAAATACGAGGGTCTCTGTTGAAACTTTTCATGAGATCCTAAAATAACAAGAAAAAAAAAATAGTTAGCCATAAAAATTAATAATTACAGTGCCTCGCATTCCAAAACCTAAAATAGGAACTGCTTGTGTTGCTGTACAGAAGACTCAAATCTGCATTGATAAATCACAGCTGGAGAATTAAATTTAAGGTGCCCATACACCTCGTACGATAATCGTATGCGATAGACTTTTCGTACGACAATCGTAACGTGTGAATAGAGTGCCGGATCGATAGTACTGTACAATCGTACGACTTTTGACGGTCAAGCATGTTTGTAAACTTTGGTCGATCGTACGATGTTCGCATGGTTGGTGGCGTTTCCGTCCGTCAAAAGTCGTACGATTAACACTGCGCATGCGCAAACTAAAATAATTGCGGCCAATTACCTGAAGTCGTCCAGGTGTTTTTTTTAACTACCGCTGATTGAACCTTGCGATAATCGGGGGTAAGATGTATGGGCACCTTAAGCCTGGTTTTAGGCAGGTCTTATAGAAGATAATGTGGCACATTAGGATTGCAATGAATAAGGACAGGAGAGCAAAGAATGGTATTTACATGTATGTTCAACTTTGCCAGTCCTGTAGAAAAAGGTTTACAGAGGTAGCAAGAGAACATTTTCTTTATCCTCAAGTAATGCCAGGGAATGTACAGACAACAATAACCCTGGAGTAAGGATGAGGAGTAACATAGCTGCTCTGATAAGCTAATAAACATACAAGTGTAAATCCCGAACACTGGAGTAACAATTAATGCAGCAACTTGTTCACACCTGGCACTGATTGAAGTTGGCATTCTCATCAATCCTTAAGAAGGGGAATGAATGGTAGTCCAGAAATATCTCCAATATGTCCAGCATGAATAACATCTGGGAGAAAATCAGCACACGTCGACCCTCAGACCTCAGTTTCTGGAGGAGGATGGATAGAGCTTCCAGCTTTCCTGTGGATGTCAAGCAGAATAAAAACAAAACACTCACTTGAGATCCTTTTTATGTGCAACTTCAATAAATGTAAGGACTGCAAACCTAGCTATAATCTCTATAACTTATTTCATATAACGTCACAGTCAGACTAGCAGTCACGTTAAGATGAGGCAGTGCCTAGGACAAGGCTAAAACCCACATAGTAAAAGGTGCCCATACACCTTACGATTATTGTACGATAATCGTATGCGACCGACAGTACTGTACAATCGTACGACTTTTGACGTTCAAGCATGTTTGAAAAGTTTGGTCGGTCGTACGATTTTCGCATGGTTGGTGGCGTTTCCGTCCGTCAAAAGTCGTACGATTAACACTGCTCATGCGCAAACGAAAATAAGTGCGGTAGATTATCGCAATTCGTCCAGGTGTTGTTTTTTTTAACTACCGCTGATTGAACCCTGCGATAATCGGGGCAGGATGTGGTCGCCGTGCGACAATCGCACAATGGTTCGATCAGTTTCGTCCGATAATCATAAGGTGTATGGGCACCTTAAGACAAACGTTCTTCAGTATCCAACCTCCAAAAGGCAGGACCATACAGTATACCCACATGCTGTGATTTCCAAATTCCCACCAATACATTTTATTTGATTTTTTATTTGCTTTAGTTATTAAGACTGTAAGCACCCTTGGGAGCAGAGATGTATACTGATTACTTGATGTTTTCTGTAATGTTCTGCAGCATAAATTAATGCTATACAAATGTTAAAAAAAAACAAGTAAAGCAGTGCTGTCCTAGTTTTAGATGGCATGAGACATGCAAGGTTTTAATTAATTTAAAGGGAATCTATAGATCTAGGAAACAAGGGACAAGACAAAGCGCCTCCATAGTGTAAAAGTGTAATTTATTTGTACAACACGCAAATAAAAATGTACTTACAGGAAAGTCGGTGGTTACAAGCATACAAATGGTGATGAAGTATAAAATCTCTAGCAGCGGAAGTCTGAAGGAGTACAGCACATCAGCATCCTCTGCCCCCTTGAGTTCTAAAGATCTACGCGTTATAGGAGGTTCTGATGAAGGGGGCATGCCCCTGAAACGCGTAGACCTTTAGAACTCAAGGGGGCAGAGGATGCTGATGTGCTGTACTCCTTCAGACTTCCGCTGCTAGAGATTTTATACTTCATCACCATTTGTATGCTTGTAACCACCGACTTTCCTGTAAGTACATTTTTATTTGCGTGTTGTACAAATAAATTACACTTTTACACTATGGAGGCGCTCTGTCTTGTGCCTTGTTTCCTAGATCGATGGTCTTTTTGACCAGTGAGAGCTGCCTTTTGAGTGTTTAAGCCTACTTCACAACCAGCCCATCTTGCAACCAGAGGCGTCGGTATTGGTTTTTTCGTTGGAATCTATAGATGTTTGTATACATTTACCTTATTATGGTCAGGACTAAAAAGATAAAACATTTTAACAAAATTCTTTTTTTTTTAGTCCGGTAAATATAAAATATTGCATTTGAATATACTGTATTTTTATATGCAGACAGCAGGAGGAGCTTTCTGTCCCTTTTTACATTAAAATTAAGATCTTTCAAATAAAACTGACCCAAACCATTGCAGTTTTTCCTTTAGGGTGCTCTCTAAATTAAAAAAAAATTCTGATGTAATCCAAAGTTTCAAAGCATCATTTATTTATCAATGTATTAAAGCCAGCACAGTACAGTCTGAAACCGTTTTGCCTTTGCAGCAATGCAGGACCTCTGCCCTATTCAAAGTTGTATCTACTCTAGAGCTCTTTACATATGGTTGAACACATCTGATACACACCAAGTCTTTTTAACTCGGTTGTACATAAGATCCACAACTTGCTCAAGATATAATAAGCATGTCTAAAAAAAATAAATATATCTTAGTTTATAACCCCAGAAAATAAATGTTTTCATCTTACCCGAGTCACGCTGGATGAGCCGCAGGTCTGGGTCCTGCACACAGTGAGGAGATGTTCGTTCCCGCAGGTCCTGAATGTATGGATCTATGTGCTGCCTCAGACAGTATTTTAGGATCTTCATGTTGTGAGTGTACATGGGAGGAGGGTGCAGTACTGTCATAAGTGGTGGAGTTGCAACAGCTGCAGGGATCACACAGAGTGACCTAAAACACACAAAAATTGTTAACATAACATCTTACTAAAAAGCAGTTTTAATTATTATTGTGGCAGCTGCTTTATGCTTTACTTATGTTTTTCAAGGTTCCTGTTTTTTGTTTTTTCTACTGTAGTGGTTCTCCCACTCTTCTGGCATAGGGAAACATGGCTTGCCCTTTAATTCTGGCTGCAATTACACTTGTTCACAAGCCAATCAACCAAACGTCAGAACCAGGAGAGATTTTATTACTTCTGACAACCTGTACATTCTCATTCAGTAGAAAACATGCCCCAAAAAAGGAACAGGAGCAATGGTTACTGGTTTTTACAATTTTACAGCTCCAGAAGATATGGGATTAAAAAAACAAACAGACACTGAATACCGTACATAATATTGCCATTGTTTCAAAACACTACAAACACACAATACAACACATTAACACCAACTAATAGTAGTAATTTGGAGAACAGCACATCTTATGTACGATTATGCAATTTACCTTTTAGCGATGGGTTCCAAAACTGCTTTCTGCTGCTTTGGGCTCAGAAGAAGTTCTTGCAATGGGTCATCGGAGTTCTCAGGAGACTGAGACAAGACTGCACAGTGTACTGACCCAGTCCAGCGCCATTGTGTATCCAACATGAAAGGCCGTGCATTAGGATAGCTCAATGTAAAGAGTGATAACAGGTCTGACCCATAAACAGGAGCTCGTCCACATCGCCGTTCATTGCAGCTGAAGAGTCTATCCAGATGCTCCTTTAATGATCGTTGTTTATCTTCTGTAGATTCCTTTTGCAAAGCAGATTTACATAATTAATACACTTAACAGCCATCTTAAGATGCATACCAGGTGGAAAGTGAAAAAAATAATTTACATACATTGTCAATATACTGTATTATAATAATAATGATGAGAGCTTTGAGATAAATAGATGTTGCGGATTAAAACATACAGCAGCGTAATTTTTTTTTCTTTATAGAAACACAGTATAACCAATGAAGGAAAAGTTTTAAAATAAAGTCAGGGTAATATCCTATTTTTTGCATACAACCTGGAAAAATAACTACAACACAGGCAATGTTAGCAAAATATATAGTACCGAAATATACTCTCTAAAACAAGTTAAATATTCGTTTTAGAGAGTACATACACTAAATATATGCCCAGACAAGAAATCTGGAAGTTTCGAACACAACTAGAAGTTCTCAATTTGAAAGCTTCTAGCTACTATCATTTGACAAATACATACACACACCTGGGAATGTGAAGCTGGAGCAGACTTTGTAGCTGGATCCACTGCAGGTTGTGTGGTTTTGGCAGTTAGAAGAGCTGTAAATAAAACAAAGATGATTGCTGTTTGGAATAATTGCATTAACTTTAACAACAACAATCACTAATATGTATGTAAGTTAAAAAGCCAGCTACCCAGAAATCCAATTCTGGTACACATGTTAAAATCCATATTTGAGGCCTGAGAATTACTGAAAATACCTCAAGATTATATATTTCTTGAAAGCAGAGACCCTGTAGAACAAAATGGTGACAGTTGCAAAATTTTTATTGCACATATTAGCGCAACTGTTTCTTAAACCCGTTAATACGAAATCACCTGCACTCCATACAGCGTACAGACCTTGGATGAGAGGTTTCTTAAAGCCAAAATTTCAGTTTAAAAAAAAGACACTTTAAAAGTAACTTTAAGTGTACAAAAACACAATATAATACCCATGTTTTGGCAAAATATAAAAGAGTTTGTTCCTAGTAAATAGATACCCAATATGGCAAGCTTAAAAATTGTGTGTGCCCAAATTGTCCATTGCTGGGGCTTTAAGAGCCTGTGTAGGTCATCAATTTAGGGTTAATCACAAATTAGTTTTTTGTACGTAGGCGCACCAGTCAAGTGTATGCGTTTATGCAGGGACAGGGGATTTTTTAAAAATGTATTGGTTTTTTTTTTTTTTTTAATTATGCAACTGTTTTGTTTTTTTTACTTAATTGCTACACAAGGGGCTCACAAGTCCCTATGTAAAAGCACTTTAGTGATGACAGGTGTTCTTTAAAAACACATTACAAGCACATATGGTCGATCAGCTTCTTCCCTGGCCTCTTTAGCCAGGGAATGACAGCTCTGGAATTGAAGTGATGAAATCAGCATTTCTTCCAGATTCATTCAGTGGGGAGGAGATCAGCGAATGGATGTTCGCTAGTCTCTCTCCCTTCTACCCGCTGAGAACTGTGATGCCAGTCCTTGGTCCACAAGAGGGGCAGCGGAGCCCGGCGAAGCAAGGGAGCGTATGGCATATGTCAGTGGCATCGAAAGGGTTAAGTGCCATCTGGATGCCAAAACTTTTAGGGAAGGAAAATGATCATTATAACAGAAGCACAAAAGCAAGAACATATTTTTGTTGAGTGGAAGAAAGCTAAATCTGGTGTCTGCATTTTATCACTGTATGTGTGTGTCCCTGCCGGGGAGATTCCCCACTTCCTGAGGGAACATTTCTCCAGTAGTATAGCAGAGAGTAATAAAATCGAGAAGAGTCCATTAGTAGTTGGTGATCCATTACACAAAAGTGGAATAGAAATCTCATAAGCTGTTCTAGACACAACATGCATAAATAGAGAGTTGGCAGGCAGATAGAAGAATAAAACTTATGTTTATATAACAGACATCTAATAGTCTCACCAGCTGATGGCACATTGGCAGGTGGATGAGCTCCCATTTGTGGTTGGTTTCTTATGGCATTAGCTGCTGCAGTCTGTGGCACGGATGGAAGAACAACAGAGCCCTGAGTACGCAGGTACTGGCCCGGAGCAGAAACAATCTGCAGAACGTTACCTAGGATAAACATGCATAAAGTTGAAAGTACCCATAACCTCAATGCACAAAATATCACTGCTACAGAACCAGTAGCTAACCAGCTGTCAGAAAATGTCAGCTTCTGTAAAAGATTTTTATGCAGATGTTTTGCGATCGATTCCCTTTCAAAGAGGGAAAAATTAAGATGTGGCGTTTCTCACCCTCGTACAACTGCTGCAACAAAAGCCAAATATGTGACAGCTACAAGCTATAAATCAATGGAAACAATGAATAGTGCAAAAGATATAGTCATTAGGGCTCTGACTGGAACTCTATCTTTATTTCCATACCGGTAACAGAATCCTTATTTGGTGCTAGAATAAAAACTCTGCAACTCTGAAAGAAGGACATTCCAATAAAGAGCAATTCTTTTTTAAAAGTGGAAGCCTGCTGGTGGCATCCTGTCATTTTTAAATTGAATAAGAGAAATGTCACCGACACACCAAATTCCTTAAAGGATCATCAATCGTGAATTTATTGAAGACTCATGTCAAATACACAAGCGCTTTTCGCGGGCACGCAGAGTCCCTTCATCAGGCACCCTGAATACGGGGATTTCCGGTAAGGAGTGCAACAAGCCTTCTTTATTTGTGCCGACACTGTCCTTCCTTCTAGAAGGTGGCTACTTCTGTTCCCCATGGTCCCTGTGTGTGTTGTAAAGTAGCCACTTCTCCAAGCTTGCTCCCGTGATAGACTACAATGTCATATTTAGTTCACTAATTAGTGTTAAAATTGTAGTCCATCACGGGAGAAAGCGGTGGCTACTTTACACCACACACAGGGACCATGGGGAACAAAAGTAGCCACAGAAGGAAGGACAGTGTCAGCACCAATTCAGAGATGATTTGAGGATCTACAGTTGAGTGATACACATATAAGTTACATTTTTGCTAATTGTTAAGGTACTTGAATGCATTTTTAGGTTTAAACTCCTGAGTTTAGTGTCACTTTAAATGCTGTGTTGCACCAAAACTAATACAGACCTAGCTAGCTACAAAACAAAAGCATGTGTAAATTTTGTGGAGTTTACCTTGTAGCTGCAATGGCTGGCCAGCAGTAAGTTGACGCAATTGGCTCTGGGACAAGGTGAATTTGTTTCCTTGGAACTGCAGGGTGACTGGGGTCTCTGGCTGAGCAATTCGCCCCTGGGCTGCTCCAGCTGTGGCCAGCTGAGCAATTTTTACGACTTCACCACCTGTGAAGACCAGGAAAAACGGGAACAGCAAAGAGTTTTCAAGTCAGAAAAATAAATGTTAAGCCGTAACTTATGTTGAAGAAAATGAAAGACAAACATGGTCCAGTTATGTTTGAAAAAAATGTATAGTTAAGATACTATTTGCCTTAATAAGTACCTTAGTAGAAATGTTATAGTTTACATAGCTTGGCAGAACAATTGAATGTGTATTCAAATAGCTAACATTGATGTTTTTGTCATTTCAACTTAGAATCAATAGTCAAATTTGAAAAATATTATGACAATGCAAAATAAGTAATTTAAAGGGAACCTGTTCGAAATATGGGAGCAGTCACTGCCAAGTTATTTTTGGAGGTCCAAGTTCAGGGAAAGGGGAGTGTTCTAATCACCTCTGTTTCAATACTAAGCAAGCCCATCACACTGAAAGTATGCAAGTTTGGAAATTGGACTTCCCTGGCTGCATAGCTTGGATGACAGAAAGGGAGCTTACAGTTCCAAAGGAAAGGAAGCAATAGTAGCTTCTATAGTTCTATTGTTACAGTTTCCCTTTAAAAAAATATTACATTACAGAATTGTTGTGTTTGCTTATTGTTACAGCCCACATCAAATTATGTGAATAAAATACAGAGAAAGTGGGGATTTTGGAGAAAGCACACTGCTTGGAATTTAATATGTGCAAAGATTAAAAAGAAATTGTCAGTTTTTATCTGCATCACAAATTAAACAGCTGTGGATAAGCTGCAAGATAAGGCATTAATAGCAACTAGACATGATAAATGATTATGGGGGTTCTGTCAAGGTATGCAGGTTTCTGCATGCATTTGTTATTAAAACAGCCATTAAAAATGAAAGAGGCTTCATGGGATACAACTTACTTGGAAGCCTGGCCTGAGAACTGAGCACCAGCCTTGGAGACATAATATTCTGCTGGACAGCATGCTGAGAAGTCTGAGCCTGACTTAGTTGCCTTACTGAAGGGGCAGCTGCAAATGTTGCTGGTGCCTGAGGCCTAGGAACTCCCACAGAGACATGTGTAGTCTGACCCTGGGTAATAGGTACTGAGAATGACATTACTAATTAGATCCTGCATACAACATATGGATATCAGTGCCAAGACTTAGAGGCACGATCACAAAAAAATTTACTTAGACGTAAGAAATGTAGATCTGAATATACATAAAAGGGTCCAGCCTATAGTTTGTTACTTTGCAGAGTGCCTGGCAGCCCCATGGTGATGATGTATACAAATCTTTAACAGCTAATGTCAAGTTCAACTAACCCTTATAACTCACTATTGTTTGTAGTTATAGACCAACGGCTAGCTGCAACAGGCAGTCTCATGCTTGATATTTAGATCTGCATGCTGGAGGTTTCACGCCTCTTGTTGGTGTCCTTCAAAGTCTGCAGTCCCTTAACTGGGTTAAAGTGGGTGCAGGTTTAAGTGAATGTTTTAACAGCCTATTCATGTAGGAAAATGTGTATCTAGGGTATAATACAATGAATAGTTTATGTCTGACTGTGTCTATCTATCAACAGAAAAGTCCAATGGTGAGAACTACACTCGGATAAGACAAAAAACTGTCTGGGAGCACTCGAGGCAAGTAGATACAAACAGTCCAGTGGAGGAGACACTTGTACTGAAGCAAGTCTTTCTCAAGTCTGGAGAAAACAAGTGGCTTGTCAAAACATCGACCAATACCGTGTTTCCCCGAAAATAAGACACTGTCTTATATTTTTTTGGCTCAAAAAAACACACTAGGTTTTATTTTCGGGGTAGGTCTTATTTTTTTTTAATGTATAACAATCCAAAGTTAATGCAAATCCAAATTTAATAATCCAAAATGGCAAAGTTAAAAATAGGGTGATCAGGGCAATCAGGGGTGCCGTACTTTACTAACCTTTGCATATACACTAAACTTGACATAAATTCACACTCAGTTTCTTGTGAAAGAATTTACCTATACAAAAGCAACAAAAAAAATAAAAATCACACCAGTGAAATTATACAAAACTCTGCTAATAAAGCAAACAGGTAAAGTCCAAGTGATATGCCGTTTATTGAAAACCTTTATTATGCTAATAAAATACATTTCAAGGACACAGTTTTGCAGAATATCCAACTATACTTTAGTTTTTATTAGCACTTTTTAATAGCAAAAATGAAACCATGCCAATTTCCCTCATATTACTTTGTAACAAAGTGAAATAAGGTTAAGTGTTAAGAGGCCCAATTTGACTCCAGGTGTTATTTGGAAATGTGCAAATTCATATTCTTACAAAATTAATTACAGTAATACCTTGGTTTACAAGTAACTTGGTTTGAGAGCGTTTTGCAAGACAAGCAAACATTTCTGAAAAAGTTTGCCTTGATATACAAGCAATGTCTTGCAATAAGAGCAAAATTTTGTAGAAAAGCGCCACCCAAATAAGGCTGTAGCAGTGCGAGCGATGAGTCTGTTTAACGACAACACAATGTCACATTGGATAGATTCCTTGTTAAGGTTTCACAAAATGAAAAAGATTACATCGAGTCAAGAGATAGCAGTGATTCCGTTAGTGATGGTGAAAGTCGTCCTGCACAATAATCCCCCTCTCTCTTGTCCCCCTCACCCCAGCCACAAAGGTACCGGTAATTGGTTTATTTTTCTTTATATTTTATACAGTATTATATTACAGTACAGTATTGTAATCATTTTATATGACTACTTTTGGGTTGTGGAACGAATCATCTGAATTTCCATTATTTCCTATGGGGAAATTCGCTTTGATATACAAGCGCTTTGGATTACAAGCATGCTTCCGGAACGAATTATGCTCTTAAACCAAGGTATTACTGTATAATCTTGCAGGAGTATTGACCCACTACACTAAAAAGTGCAGGTAGGTTATACAACTAAACCATTTAAAATACTTTAGACAGCTAATAAGTACACATTGTTATCAAACAATAATAACACTGATGCAATAGTATGTGGGCAGGATAATAATTATGAAGCAACAAACATAAACCAGCACTTACCTTTGGTCCCCTGAGGTACAACAGATGTTGTAATTGATGACCTTTTTACTTGTCCCTGTTGTGTGACTGTAGTAGTTGTCACTACACGAGTTGCAGGTGCACTTGGTAAAGCAACAGTGCGTCCTTCAGGTTTCTGTCCATAGAGGACTGGCTCAAACAATCTATAAGAGATGATAAAACGGTAAGCAATTGAATGGAAAGGTAAAATAAGGACAGAAGATTATGGGAAACCAGAAAACACAATCACCTGCTTGGTTTCATTTTCACTCGGGTGGGTCGAGGTGCAGGATCAGGGGTGCTATAAATTTCCTGTATTAATTTTCTAGTCAATTTCCGCTTAAGAAGCTGCTGGCCTTCATAACGGGTCATTTTATTTTCTAGGCCAATTAAGTCAAATAAAGACAAATCTGGGTTCTGGAAGAGAAAGAAGAAAACATAAGAAGATCTGAAAATGCAAGTCATGTGAAAAGAATAATATTCCCTAAAGCAAACCTCCTGGCTGTGTACCCACAAAAACTGGATGCTAACAAGAACCCAAAGCTTGTTATTTCACTGGAAGAAAATCACTTTAGAACAGAACCGGAGCAGACACACCGGCCGCCCCCCCCGGTTGTTACGCCACTGCAGAGAGGTCTCTAGCATAAGTGAATAACAACTGTCGCAGGTAACATTTACCATATAAGAAATATCAATGTGATTGCCATTTCCCTCCTACACAATCTTAACCACTTGCTGACCGGGGTGTTTACACCCCCTTCCTGTCCAGGCCATTTTTCAGTATTCAGCGCTGCGGTACTTTGACTGACATTTATGCCGTCATGCAACGCTGTACTGAAATGAATTTTATACCATTTTTTGGGGACAGATTGAGCTTTCTTTTGGTGGTATTTAAATCACCACTGGGGGTTTTTTTTTTTACTATATAATAAAAAAAGTACAGAAAATTTTGAAAAAAAACCTGTTCTCCCTACGTTATGTTATAAACCATTTATTACCCAATTTTAAATAGACACCAAACATGTCAAGCTTTAAAATTGCGCGCACCCGCTAAAATCGCAAAAAAACTACCATACCTAAAATTGACCATAGCTGACGCTTTAAAAGCTTTTACCGCTCATCAGTTTAGTGCTATCAGTGATTAATGGCCCTAGACTTGTTGCTCTCACTCAGACGTTCGCGGCGAACGTCTGAGTGAGAGCAACATGTAACATGTCCGGCGCAATGGATGTAATCGTCGTTTTCGCACATAGGCGGACTTGACGCATGTTTGCGTGTGCATGTGGGGGCGGGGGACTTTAATTTTTTTTTTATTATTTTTGCTTTGATATGTGACTTTAAATTTGTCACTTTTTGTAAACTTTTTTTTTCCACTTAACTTTATTGCTATCACATAGGGAACAAACAAGCAAACAAGCTCCCTATGTGATAGCCAATTTGCAGTGACAGGTCCTCTTTATGGAGACATGATGGGTCTTTAAGACCCCTAATGTCACCTAGGGACCACAGAGAAGCTGATGAAGCAGAGACCTGCTTCACCAGCTTCTCTCCGGTTTCTGGAGCGGAGAGTAACACTGAATGCAGGCAGTGATGTAATACACATCACTGCCTGCATTCCGAAGAGGAGGAGGAGATCAAACGGAGCTTGTGTACTGAGCTCTGTTTGATCTCCGGCCGCAGAGCTGCTGTGCTGATCCCGGGCTCACAGCGGGAGCAGCAGAGCCGGGATCGCCGGCACCAGCTGCGGTGGCGCACACCCGCACGCAATTACAAGCGATCGGGCGTCTCTACAGACGCCTGCACGCTTGTATGTAAACAGCCATCGCTGGCTGTTTACATAGAAAGCTGATTTCCCATTCGTGCGCACCGCCTAGCGCGGGCACGAGCGGGACAGGACGTCTAAAGACGCCCACCCGCTCTCAAGAAGCCGCTGTCCGGCTGTTTAATTACAACGGCCGGACAGCAGGTGGTTAAAGCAGTATTAGGTTTAAAATAAAACTACAAAGTGTTTTGAAGCATGTAAGCTTTTAACAGGAACGGGCTTTCAGAAGCTGATTTCCAAACAATCTAGCACATGCAGCTATTTAAAAGGAGCTGTTTCTGGAACAATTTGCTTTCTTCTTTGAGAATTGTTCCTACAATGTGTCTCTTATATATTTCCTTGGGAGACTCAGCACAAATATGGTGCATAAATTCCATGCAGGGTAGTGAATTATGCAATACCCACTTAATGAGCTTAGCAAATCACTGTGAATCTCCTCTCACCTTCCACGGGTCATACTCTAAAGCCTTCAAAACCAAAGATGCAGTTTCATATTGCAGAGCTTCACATGTATAGGAGGAATGCCCAGGACGTGGATCCACCAGATCTGGATGATTACAAATTCTCTGCAACTGTGTCAGGACATGAAGAACACTGACAAAATGGCCACCCTTTAGGGAATCTTGAGTTCTGTCCAAGAATACAAATTATTAATACTTAAGATCAAGAGTTTTAAAACATAACTACTCCAAAAACACGTGATGTGTTTTTCTTGCCCTAGCCTATAGAAACTTTCTTACCCAGGCTGCATCATGATATCTTCGTACAACACCTTTTGGCGGTTTGATAATTGACACTTGAGTACATGCTCATATTTCTTGTTTAGCTGCCTTTCAACATCTCTTTTGGTCCGTCGCAAAATAAATGGTTGAGTGGACTGGAAAAATAATAATACATTTTGAATAGCAAAACTACACAAAATAGCATGCACCAACAAAACACAAAAGAAAGGGATATTGCAGTTATCAGCAATTTAGAAAAAAAAAAAGGATTTGAAGTGACTAGACCATCGCTTCGGGTGAAAAAAATAATGTTACATTCCTCTGCAGGTAAAAACCTCCATGTCAATAACCAATTGCTTGGATGTCTGATGATGGTGTCCATTCAATGCTTGTCGCAAGAAATGTCAACATAAATTGTGATATTTTAACATGTAGAGAACACCAATTAGTTCCAAAGTGACACTAGGTCTTGCTGCTCTTACATAAAGTATAGGGTATACTAGGAAGACAACTGTAAGACATAAAAGGAGAAGGAATTCACCAACCTAGTGCATTATCAGAAGAATGCTTTATTGAGCCCTTGACGCCAAGGTAACACATACATGAGCTGGGAGGACCAGGTCTCAAACACATGATTACTCGTTTTAAAATGATCCCTGTATCTGTTTGAGAAAACGAGGGGAACTTATGAAAACTGGAGCAGGCAGAATCTGGAGCAGTTGCCCATAGTAACAATCAGCTTCTTTTTTAAGTTTGTTCAGTTTTACTTTGAAAATGAAAGATAAAAGCCGATTGGTTGCCTTGGGCAACTGCTGCAGATTTTATAAATTCCCCTTGCTCTATCTTTGGAGAATATGTCTGGAAAAAAACAAAGAACAAAGTCTGGTAATAAAATTAAGATAAAATAGTAAGATCAGGGCTTCATTCAGCTTAGTGTTTGTGTGTTTTAGATAAGATAAAAATGTCTGTTTAACTAGCCAGTATACCGTGGTCAGCTTCATGGCTCAATTGCAGCATCGGTAATCACACCAAACAAATGCATGATTGTAACTGGGTTTTTATGGTAATATACTAGGTTGGTGCGCTTTATTCTCCTTTATGTTCAACACAAAGAAAGGCTGAGAAATTGAGATTCTGCAACCAAAGTTTTTTTTAATTACCCGGTGCAATCGTATTGAAATGGTATGTCGATATTCTTGGTCCTGGTCACTACTCTCCTTCACCGGGAAATCCAAATAAGGTCTTGATAAACCTGGAATAAGGAAGTGCACCATGGTCCACAGGTCTTTCCACGTGTGTGGCAATGGAGTGTCTCGAAGAAGCAGCCGCCGTTGACTAAAAGCACAAAACACAGGAGATATAATACCAGTGACGGCAGCACCCAGCAACACATATTCATCCCAATATATTTCTGTGTTTGTGTTATTTTCTCTCCCTCTTAAACTTCTGCATCCACACATATATGTGGTACTATTTACAAATATAGATTTTAACAGGCACACCTTGGAAGATTCAAAATAGCATCCCAATGCTTCTCATTCATATTTCGGATCTGATGGACTTCATCTAGCACCAGGTACTTCCATCTCATCTTCATGAAGGCCTGGAGTCCTTTGAACAATTGCTTGTAAGAGGTGATACAGATGTGGAAGTTGTTGGGCTCATCCCAAGTCTAACCGTATTAAAAGATATAAATTATTTCTTCATATTCAAGAACATGGCTCAAAGTATATGACAGTTCTTATGCGACACCATACCTGACGCTTTCTCCTGAGCTCTCGCTGACTACCAATATACAGCAGGAGTTTAAGTGCTGGGCACCAGCGTTTCAGTTCCAGCTCCCATTTAAGAACATTGCAGCTTCGGGCAACAATTAGATGTGGACCCCATACACCTGGGAATAAATACATTGATTAAATATATTTGAAATAACTACCGTATATACTCGAGTATAAGCCGAGATTTTCAGCCCATTTTTTGGGGTGAAAAGTGCCCATTTAATAATAGAATGTGGAATGGTTAGAACCTCTGTGCAGTTTTCATTGTATATGTTCCTACTTAGGTGGGCTTTGCTAGGAATAAAACACTTGACAAAGGTTTTACCCCTCCACAATTCCATTCTAAACTAGAAAAATAATATTAGCTGTGGTTGGAGTTCCACTTAATTGTTCTGCTAGTTTATTACTCACCCTCGCTGCTGGCCAGATGAGCTAAGAGAGCTATCACCTGGATATTCTTGCCCAGTCCTGATTCATCTGCCAGGATCCCATTAAGGTTCTTTCTGTACTGTTTAGCCAACCAATCAAGCCCAATCATTTGATAATCTCGAAGTTTGCCATGAAGAAGGGGTGAAGCAGGAGTTTTTACCTGTGACATTCATAACACAATTTAACAATGCTTTCATTTGCAGTTCAAGTTAATACTTTAAAAAATAGATAGATAGGATATACCAAGAACCTTGCACCCTTCTTTATTCTTTAAATGCTGAACATTAACAGAGGATGAAAGAATTTGCCTTGGTGTTTTATTCCAGACCCAGATAACAAACATTTTACTATAACATGTTGCTTTTCTGCTTCTGACTGGTGGTCTCTGGCTTCAATATTTTTTGACACACATCCAAAACAAGCATGCTACAATAATGAAATTAGAACCTCTGATGTGCATGCTTGTTCCAGGCCAGTAACTCGAATTACTGTAGCCACCAATGAGCCCGAGAGCCAGGCAACTGGCATTTTCAGAAAGCAATGAAAACATTTATACATTTTAATACATTCACATATTGCTTATTTTGGCTTTGCTTAAAAACCACATAAAGTGAGCTGGCTGCAAGAAACATGCAGGAAATAACTTTTTTCATAATATATTAGTATTAGGAGAATTAAAATTTTGGTTTAAATCAAAACCCAAGACCAAAAATACTCACTATCCCAGAGATGCGTGTACTACCACGAGGCAGTAATAGTTCTGCAGCACCAGCAACTTCAGCAATGTCCCGATTGTGCTTCCGTACACCTACAAGGGCAGCACTACTTCCATCAACAGTCAGCAGAGAGTCTATGAGAACCACCTGCTTCTGAGCACTATCGAAACTTGTGTCACATTCTGAAAACACACAAATGGGAATAAAGTAACAGGATTACCTATAAGAAGTTATTAATAACATCCTACAAAAGTCTAACACATGCTGCAGTTTCTCATCCTTGCACTATTCGCTGAATTATGGATCACATTTCTCCCCCAAGTCAATAAAGGTTTTCTGCGACAGATCTTACAAAATTTTCCAAATACATATTATACTACAGCACAAAGATTATTGCACGGGTTTTCACTCTGAATAATGTTGCCAGCCTTTGTCTGGCAGTAGCCATGAGTTCCTATGATATGTTGTGCCCAAAGCAGGTAAAGGATCTGTTTAGGTGGTGTTTACACAACAACTCATAATAAGAAAAATAGAATAAAGAGGAAGAATCTTTAAATCAATAAATGATCATTGGGAAAAATGATTCTACAAAAGTGCTATATATTTTCTTTATGAATTGAACATTTTTAGACAAAAATTGTAAGATAAATTAAAGAACACATCATGTAAAACCTAATGCAGCTTTGTAAATTCACGGTTTAAAATATTTTTCAATTCTCTGTTTTCAAAAAACTAAAAATGCGCATGCATGCATAAAGTGCAGTTTATAATAATAATAAAAAAAATTTAAAAAATGCATTTAGGAAACAAAGTGAAAATGCAACGTCAATATTGCCACCGCCAAACAAAGAAACAAATCAGATACATTTAAAAGGCTAGACTAGCTAGTGACCACTTGCAATTAGTTTTTTTAACCAATCATGTCATACTTTGGACAAACTCTGCTACAAAACAAATACACAAACCTTTATTTTCAGTTGCTTTAAAAACATTCCCTGAGATAAATGGATCCTGCAAAATAGAAACAATGATTTGTACATACTAAAAAATTCCCAGCACTATTTATTAAGAAGTTAATTCTGAGGAACAACAATTAAAAGGCCAAAACAATCAAATGATACCAATATAAGACAGTGTCTTATTTTCGGGGAAACACGGTAGTGCATCTTGCAGTGATGTACAAAAGGGAACATTGTCCATATAATTACAAAACCAAAACAGAATCTTTTAAGTATACAATCTTTTATGGTATTTAAAGACAATAACATGTAGAGCCTGTAAATGGCCTGTCTAGTTGGTCTATTTAGTATTAATACATAAAAACTGTCTATTAGCAGTCTGACTAATAATCAAACCTCAGATTCAGTGCGGTTCATCCTACACCACCTAGCAATGGGCTTATTTTTACACTTGTTCACAATGCATGCTCTATTAAGATAATTGTGAGAACCAAGTAAGGCTCTCCTATTCATTTCTATGGCATGTTTATAGATTAAAAGAGAACTATGGAGTAAGTGTTTTTCCCCATAGTTCTCCTAAGGGTCACGGGAGGACATATACTAGCGTCCTCCCGTGAAGAGCTGATGTGTGACGGTTTCATTGTCACACGTCGGCTCGAACTATGAGGTTGAGTGATTTTCACTCACCTCATAGTTCTCCTTTAAGAGGCCTTAACTCCTGTTGTATAAACATCCAGGTACAACATTTTCTCGCAGAATAGAGAGCAGACCTAACTCTCCCACTACAATCACCTACCTATAAATCCACAAATCATAGTGATGACAGAAAGTGAAGGAGGTCAGTAAACAATGAGCTGATCACAGCAACTTAATGTTGTCTGGGGGACACTTTCGATAGAAGCCAATGATAATTAAGCTGGCCAGTTGGAAGCAATTCAGTTCAGTTGAATGCCTTTGATGGGTGGCTGCAATGGGTTAAGGGAATGTATACAAAACTATCATTTATTCGGTTATGCAAGAAAAAATTTGTTAAAAGGAAAGTAATTTTGAACACTGTGTTTCATACAGATAGTTTCATTAAAAGCTTTTACTGTGACCTACCAAACATCTCTCTGCTCTCCCTTGCTTTTCAGCCCTTTTAGTTTCTTGGTCTAGAATCATTTAAAAAAGAAGAAATATAAAAATACACACAAAAAAATAGACATATCATAACATACAGAAAACAAAACACTTTTTCCATAAAAAGGAATTTAGGAGGACAGTCACCTATCCTACCTTCACCACCTAGTGGCTGCACTAGCAGAAAAAAAGGCAGAGGTAGCTCCCATATGTCTCTTGGCTGATCCCCTTTAAAATGGATTATTCATTTTTTTATATATAGCCAAACTCCAGGATCATGCTGACTTTCAACACACAGAACCCTTCCCCTACGCCAAAGAAAACCATTCCTATACAATATAGAATAATGCCTTATATTTTCTCTTAGTGATTTTTTTTAAACCAATGATGTCACAATCTCATCCAGAGAAAACCTTCATTGCGTGTGCCGTGGAGAAAATAACTCACAGCTTCCACAGTTATCCCATTTTTCCAACAGCACTATGTTTCCTATGTGATCAAACACAGCAGGAATAAGGGGCAAGTTTGAGCCATAACATGGGAGATAAGTGGACATGCTGAGAAAGATACACCGTTTTACATGGAAAAAGCAAGTAGCTTCAAGATAAAACTGTACTCATTCCAGCTGGAGCTTGGTTTTAATTACTTAACATGTCATGTACATAAATAAATATGACAGTGTATGTATTATATGGTGTACACTACAGTTGTTGAAAATAGGCCTCATGGGTCAATTTAAATTTATCAGTATGGATGTCACACTAGTTCCTAATAGTCTCAACAGGCCACTGGCACACACACAGGTGAATTCAATATCTCTTAGATATGTTTATTGAAAAATGTCATGGCATGTCATTAGAAGCTGAAGCTGTCCCTCCCCTCATGGCTTTGTGGGTTGGTGTAATCCTGGACTCTGAAATCTCATTACATTCCCACATCAAATCAATGTCCAAATCTTGCTGATTCACCCCTGTCCAGCGATCTACTCTGTCCACCTTTAGGTGATCCCTGAAAACGCACCTCTTTAGGAAAGCCTATGCCATCTAAACCTAACAACTGAACATTTACTTTCTCCATCAGCTCATCCCAACACATGTATTACCTTATGTATCACTTTCTCCTACCTTGCCTTTCAGGAGCAAGACCCTCCTAACCCTCTTGTCTTGAATTGTATTGTAATTATACTGTCGATCTTTATATTGTAAAGTGCTATGCAACTGTTGGTGCTATATAAATCATGTATACCAATAATAATCATGCAACAAATAAAAAGGGAAACTATAGCTACAAATGACAATTTAGTTCACTGCATAAAAACAAAGATTATATTTTAAGACACCAATTTAACAAATGTTAATTTCATTAAGACACAGGCATACCTTTTTCTTTTTCATGTCTTACACATAAGACCTTTCTTCTCCTCTCTTGTAATTGCACCTGAAGCTTTATCTCCACTACCTAATAAGAAAGCAAATTAAATATGCGCTGATTTACCCTTACAGAATACACACATAGATTACTATCTAAATAGCACATTTTCAGTGTTTAGCATTCAGTTTTTTTCTTGTCCGTTGGGGGACAAAGGAAGTCTCATCTTTGGGATGTACAAAAGCAGTCCAACAAGGAACAGCTCTATGTAAGTGAGCGTGGATCATGCTGAGGAAGTTTTTTTTGAGTGTTTGAGTCCCTCTTTTATTGTTTTTTTTTTTTTAAAGAGTTGCAGCAATAATAACCTCCCTTTCATTGTAGTTAGTGGCAGAACGATTAAAACCCTACCCCCTCCTCAGCTGATGTCAGTGGTAGTGTCAGCGATAATATAAACCCAATTCACTGGTGTCAGTGGCAACAATAAATACCTCCAATAAAGTGGTGTTCAGTGAAAGCAAAAATAAAATCTCTTATCAGTGTTCACTATTTACAACCTGTACACACACTCCCACGCTGCTTCCTCCCCCCAAGACCTATACTATCCTTGTGTCACAGGAAATTACGTGTCATTGCTGGGTGCTGGAATGCAGAGAGCACTGCAGCTCTCAGCATCCCACTGCTACTACACATTACTATTTCTATTTCTATGTAGCTATTGCCTCACAGGCCACAAAACAATGACAGGTGTGTTTATATAATTTGTGCCAAAGTGGACCAGGAAGTGAAAAAAAAGAAAATAAATATATGTTTACAAAATAAGGTCCCATTGCTGTTGGACGGCCCTGGCTTAGGCTATTAACTTTGTCAAACATGTCTCCTTATAACTTTAACTACTGCATCAGGTTTGCTCATGTACAATAAATTAATGGTTGAGAATTCATGCAAGTATATTTTTTCTCATATTATTCATCCGACAATTTTTTTTCAGTAAAACTTACAGAAAATACGTACTTACTGAAAATAAACAACAGATTCAATAAAAGGGAGCACAGAGCACTTTAATAAATGCTAATTACACGACAGTTTATGTCAATGATAGAAATAATAATAGCCAGGGCTTCACAGTATATTTTACTTTGCACATTCAGTAACCCACAAGACATACTACTAACCTATTGATCCAAAAGCTACCAGACTTACCTGCTGAATATTTGCCCAGAAATGTTGAATCTCTCGAGCAGCTAGCCATGCTACGCGTCTAAGTCTGTCTTCTCCCTCCTTCCTGGCCCTGGCATCACTCTTCACTTTCTCGGTCAAGTGTCTTGCCGCTGTCCTGGCCATCTGCAAACAAACATTTACAGTGCAAGGAATTCTAAAAGTATCAGTTGTTGCTACTAGACCATAATGTGAAACCGTATTAAATTAAGAAATCACTGATGCGCCTGTACCCATTTTCATGCAGAGATGGGAAGTGTTACACCAAAATCTGAATATACTAAACAACAATTAATTTGTAACTAGGGATGCGCCGAAAAACATATCGGCCAAAAATGGCACTTTGGCCAAAATGCCAAAAGTACCATCTTTCGGCAGAAATTGCGGAGCATTTCTAGTTTCTCACCTCCCCACTGTGCGGTGCTCTGTGTCCCCTCTGACACATCAAATTGTCCGGTGGGGAGGAGGGAAACTGTCAGGAGGCCAAGCAGGGCGGGGAGGAGAGTGGCATCATTGTTGTTGTCACAAAAGGCTGAGCTCTCCTCCTGCAACGTCCGCCTGGGACAGATCAGGATGGAGAGAAGTGTGGGGGCAGAGACGGCTATCCGTTGTCACAGTGGGGTGAGCCGGCGGTGCAGGTGAGGCGTCAGCTGTCAAAAAAGACCGAGCTCTCCCCGCACCCTCGGCTCAGCCTCTTGTGACAGCGAGTTAGGATGGTGAGAGCTTTGCCTCTCAAAACAACAGCTTAAAGAGGAACTTTACCCATATCTTGAAAATAACTACAAAGGCACCTTTAGAAAGGTTTAGTAATAGCAATTTACAAACAGATAAAATAATTGTCGGCTTTGTATTCTTTGCATACCTTATTTTTCTTCCCCATTCATCTTAGAGTGGCCATTTTAACTAAGGGCAGGTTAGTAAATCTCCTTTTACTTCACGGAACTCTGGCACATGTGACTAGGACATGTGACCATACACATCATATCAAATTATATAATTTGTGCCAAAGTGGACCAGGAAGTGAAAAAAAGAAAATAAATATATGTTTGTTTAGCTAAGAAATGTAAGATGATTTCATAGCGGCATGCAGAGCTGCATGCTATGATAATTTTTAGTCAAAAAGTCAGTGATGAAGGGCTTTGTGCCTGTGTCGTTAGCATCAGTTTGACATCATGTTGTGGTGCTTAGGAGATCATTCAGAATTCAAATGACAGGTGTGTTTGACCAGTAGTTGACCCTCTTCTGACCTGCTTCAAGCAGATTTTGCATTCCTACAAACTTGTATGGGAATGCACAAACAGTCTGAAGTAAAAAAAAAATCCAGTCAACACATGCTGTATTAGAGGCTGCAGTGGATATACTGTATACAGATACCGCTAGGTGACCACATCTTATAGATGCAGCTCTTTTTCTCTTTTTTTAATGAGACAATCTTCTTAAGAAAACAATTTAACCAAATTTCACTACCTTCTTCGCAGTAGCAATTTTCCACATCCTCTCTTGTGCAAAGTCAGCAGCCATCCACTGCATCTCTTCCAAAAGATAATCCCACTGAGACTTTGGTCTGCTGGGCTCCATAAGTTTGGGTAACCTCCTCAATGACCAAAGGCCTTCTTTTCGAAGTTCTGTGATTCGCTGATGAATATGGTTTTCCTGCAAATTGCATGAAAGAACTGGTCACGTGTATGAACATTAACATCTCAGCTACCTAAAAATGTGTAACTCTTTTGTAGGAAGCATGATATTATGGGCAATCAAAAAAAACAGCACTTCCTTTTGACTACAAACCTACATTAGAAGGTCATAGTGAAATGTTATCAAAATACACTGTTCCCAAAACAACAAAAAATCTATTTTTTTATTGTCATATTGGAATTACACATTACTTATCAGTAAGGACCAAAATAAGTCCTCCGCAAAACCATTGTTATGGATATCCAAGACCAAAATTTGTCCTTTTGGAGAAGTTAAATAAAACCCTAATGAACTTTTAAACTACCTGCTCTAGTGGTTTAGACATTTCCTGTGGTAGGTCATCTGTAACTGCTGGTAAACTCTGGTCCAGAGGTAAAGGTGACTTTGATGAAGAAGGTGACAGAACCTTGCTGCCCCCTGGAGACATCATCCTCTTTGGTGAGACACTTGCTGTTGGAAGGATAGGTTCTGGGATACAGGTTGGGGTGGAAGGTGAGGAAGGGGCAGGAGTTGAGGGTTTTGTAATATCAGAGCCTAGCTTCGATGACACCTGCTGGGTACATGAAACACCAAATAAATGAAAACCACCAAGTATATATTTCAAACCAAAAGCAAATAATTAGCAACTGCTCAAAAGTCTATGAGGATGATAAAGGCTTGAATGGTAACTGATATGTTTTCATTTAACAGGTAAGGTTTTTGCTGTAATTCAAATAATTGATAACTGTATTTAAAATTACTTTTTTTTTTTTTATTAAAATAAAAACATTTCCTAAATTGAGAAAAGTTATTGTATTAACAAATTTTGCATGATCTTTAAATTAAGAGAACCTAGTGGAACAAAATACTTCATGCAAATTTTTAAGATAAGGTGATTAAAATTATTAGTATAGACTAGTTTGCAAAGTTGTTGGCTGGTAAAAAGGACATGTACTAAGTATTTAAACTTCCTTTATTTCATTTATTCTTGTGGAATAGCATGGCCAGCGTTTCATTTCAAGCCACGTGTTAGTATGTGGTGTGCAATATGTAAACATATGACTTTCTCATAAGAGAGTTTGTGATTTAACTTTTACATACCAGCAGCAAGGAAGATTTCAAGGAAGACGACTGATCAAGCAGCTTCCCTTGACCTTGCTGAGAGATTTGATTCTGGGTAGACTGTAGGATTGGAACGTTAAAAGCCTGAGGCTTTCCTTTCGAAGACTGAGAATCAGTGAGGAGCTGCTGTGTGAGATGTGTACTGGTGGGGGCAGTAGAGACGGCAACTCTTGGAGCCTGAGTTTTGCCTGGCTGAAAGCCGGTAGTGTTTGGCACCAGAGCTACCTTTGGTGTTTCAGTTTGTTTGTGACCCAGGGAAGCCAGGTGTTGAGAGGGTGGCACTCCAATAGCGGCACTAGAAGAACCTGCAGGAGGAAAAGAAAAAAAGCCACAAATACCTTAGCTACATCTCATAAACTTCAGTTTCTCCTATAAAATGGCCCCAACAGCTGTATGCAGTCAACACATTTAAACTTTAAATTGCTTACCAAGTTTGCCAGTTGTTTGCTGGCGCGGAGACAAATGTGTTACATTTTGTAACTGTGATCCAGACTCGGAGAAGTTGAAATCAAGAAATTGCTTCTGTGTTGGGTCTAGGAGTATATAATGAGATTACTCAAACAATTAGAATTTTTTTTGTATGCCAAGGAAAGCACACCACACAAAAATCAAACATGCACCTTATTTTTTTTTTTTCCAATCAGTCCACCACAACACTCAGACGGTTAAACCTGTGAATGGTAGCACGTTGAAACACGTATGCATTAAGGTGTGCTAGTAAAGTGTGTGGGGATGCCACTCAAAATTAATGGCACTGCAACGCACCACACAACAGATTGTGCAGTATGTCACAGTAACATGTTACCACAACACAACTGTGAACCGTAAATAGGTTGAAGTTTTTTGCACCTTCAATGTTCACTGTTTTGAAAAAAGGCACAACTTAAAATTATAAATAATATTTTTTTTTAATGAAAACACTGTTTAGATTTAGCAAGAACTAAAGGAAGTTTGTGAGAACTAACAAACAATGATTTTAGTTCATTTTGATTTGATAGACATTTGCACAACTATCATGGAGCGTACAAAATCAATAGAACCATATTTTCCTTCTACACATTCTATGTACTTTTAGGAAATGCATGGTTTGGGGGAAACTAAAAATTACTTCTTTTTTTCAACCTTTTTTAAAAATGTGAATTTATTTTTTGTAATGTCATTCTTTTTTTTTTTTTTACTTTACACTTAGGAGCTTCAGGAAAATATTGGGGGTCTAAAAAGACCACTGATATTTCCCTTTTACAATAGATTAAGAGATTGAGGACACAGAGTCCTCAATCTCTTTTTCTGTAGCCCCTGTTATCAATGAACAGGAAGACTCTACGGTATAATGAGTGCTCCTGTCCATTCATAAACTGAGCAGATAGTATCAGTTAGTATGTCCTCAATCATGAATGAACAGGAAGTGATGTAAGCATACTATGTCCTCAGTTATTTACAAACACTCAGCGGTCAGTTCTGGTCATTTCTGTGACCGCTGACCGATCTCTCCTCCCTGCTCAACTTCCCGACAGCTTCTCTCCTCCCTGCTGGGTGCCGGTGTGTCCCGTCCAATCCCCACTGCCTTTGCCAATACAGGCAAGGTAGAGCAGCGGGGATCATAGGGGACACAGACCAGCACGCAGCAAGGAGGAAATAAGCTAGGGATGTACTGTATTGCCGGACACATTTTCGTCTGTTTTGGTAAAGTTGGCACTTTGCCCATAGTACCATTTTTGGCTGAAATGTTTCGGTGGCCCAAATTTTGGTGTATCCCTAGTTAAAACTAGAGTCGCATCGAAATTTCACCCACCGAAACATATCAGCCGAAAATGGCACTTTTGGCAAATTGCCGAAAGTACCACCTTTCAGCCGAAATCCGTGATTTCTCTCCTCCCCTCTGTGTGCTGCTCTGTATCCCCTCTGACACATCGCAATGTCCAGCAGGGAGGAAAGAAACTGCCAGAGGAGCTCTAGTGAGGCGTGGAGGAAAGCGATGTAAGCGGCTGGTGTGTGACATGCTGGCCCCTCACATCGATCATCGATCAGTGGTGCTTGTAAATAACTGAGGACAGATTTTGTTTACTGTGTCCCCAATTATGATTGAATGGGAAGTGCTTTACATCACTTCCTATTCATTCATGATTGTGGACATAGTAAATATACTATCTCCATAAGTTACGAATGAACAGGAACACTTAGTATAGAGGCTTCCTGTTCATTATAACCGGGGATGCAGAATAAGAGACTTAGGACTCTGTATTCTAAATCTCTTTTTCTATTTTAAAAGGGAAATATCAGGGGTCTGTTAAGACCCCTGATATTTCCCATGTCCTGTATACAAAACAGGAAAATCCCTCAAATGGTAGGTAAATATTCTCTTGGACAGTTGTCACTGAAACAAATGTCCTCATTAGAAGATGTTCCCTCTATTCCTGTGCAGGTGACCGCTAAAAACATTGGACTTCCCTCGCTTCTAGTCTTAAATAGAAAAAATAGAGAGAGAATAAATCTTCCATAGTGGGTTTTCAGGCACCAATAATAAACTGAAAGGAATTCTAAGCCCTCACCACGCAATCCAAACCTAAAAAAAATAAATAATTAAAAATAGGTCTTTAGATACATTTTAATACTTCCAGCATCACAAATTCACCTTTGCTCCCCTCTCATTCCATGTAACTGTCCGGAACAAAGAAAATACCTGGTACTTCTTGGTATGGAGGAGCATACGATTCACTTAATATGACAGCATTGCGCAAAGCACCAGTGCTGTCAGATGGGGAAAATTCATAGCCCTGTGTATGAAATCCGGTACAGATCCTCCTGGTCCCAGCAGCTGGACATTAGCGGGGGGGCTCTGCAAGAAGGTATATGGCCCTGGAGTGAAGGAGATTAAATGGACCTGCTGCTTTGCAATGTACAGGTTCACTTTAAGCCATAGACTATAGTTGGCTAAATATACATGCACCAATATATGGCCATGCTCATTTTGGGGGAACAATAACCGTCAAATAGAAAAAACAAGCCAATCTAAGTAATTGAAAACCCTAGGTGGATTGTTTTTCCATTCTTTTCCACTATGCACCAGGTATCACATACACACACTACCGCAAAGGCAACCTGAAACAAGGAGGTAGAGCCTTTCTGCTAAATATTAATTTACAGTACAGTTATCCTTTAGAAACTAAGAAGACTTATTTTTACCACTTCACCATGGATATAAATACATCAACATACACCAAGGACATTGTCAATTAACCAAAACAATATTAAAAATAGTACCAAGTGAAGTCTGGGTCTCCATGGCAATTGGAATTTCTGACACTGGGCTGGCAGGAGTATCCAAAGGCTAAAAGAAAAATAATGATCGAAATTTTAGAAAACAAATACATTACATTTCTTACGTTTATGAGGAGATACGGAAACACCATGAGTGACAATAAACCTAATTATATAAACATAATCCATTACAGATAAATTAAATTCATCGCCACAATGGTTAAAGCAGCAAAGAATTTTAGATGTTATTAATCAAACGTTATAGCAAAGCTGCCCATCTTCCTGTCCATGTGGCAAGGGGGGAACTCCATCCTATAACACGCTGGAGGGTAATTTTTAAATAGCATTGATTATACACAAATGACATTATAATACAAGAAAAGCTTCCATATAAACAAATATACTGCATGCTGCCTACATGCCACTATGTCCTGCATCATCCACTAATAAAATGACACCCTGCTTAATAGCAAAACACATTTTAGTAACTAATGCGATGTGGTGTCACTCTACAGTCACAGCTGCTCTTACTCCATACTGTGTCATTACATATCCAAAAACACACACTACTGAGTACACTTTCTCTCACACACACACAATGCGCATTTCGCTTTCGGAACAAGAATGGGCAACCGGCATCTTTCCTGCTGATATTTCAATGAGAACATAAAGATCTACAGAGTAATTCTCTCTGAAAAATGTGTTTTGCGGAGATATAAAATTGGAAGATGTGCTCTATAGGTTGAACTCGATGGACTTGTGTCTTTTTTCACCTGACTAACTATGTAACTATGATGTGCAGGCCTAAATTTGGGGAAAATGCATAGAAGTTGTAGGCTGGAATTTAGACGCTAATTGATGAGATTTGAAATATACATTTCCCCATGATTCATACCTTTAAAAGTGCTGCAAGTACCGAATAATATCTGTTGATATTATCTGATGTTCCAACCAGAAATCTAAAGTGCTCCTGGCCCCTATCCCTGCTCCTCTGTCCGCCTCATGCATACATTGATTTCTTTCTCAGCAAAATAATGTTGCTGTCTTCACCTTCAAGAAAATTGGCTTTACAGTCAAGTTAAAAAAAAAATTAAATATGTGCATCTGATCTTTCTCTCCTCCCCGCTGGGCACTGCTCTGTGTCCCAGCAGGGAGGAGAGAAACTGTCACAGGCAGCCAAGCGCTGTCAGCGGCCAGCGTCTCTCCTCCCTGCACTGCTCAGCCTCCTGTCACAGATCAAAGTAGAGCAGTGTGGGCGGAGTTAGCCAACTCCGTCACAGGAGGCTGGCCGGCAGTGCGGGGGAGGAGTCAGCTGTCAGATCGAGCTCTCTTCCCCGCTCGCTCAGCCTCCTGTGAAAGCTGTCTGGATGGAGAGAGGTACAAACAAACACTCAGTGATCGCGGAGTGTTTGTAAATAATTGAGGACATAGTATGGTTACTATTAGTGATGGGCTCGGGCGTGTTCACAGCTCCACACGCGGAGCCCGCCAAGAAGCCGACAGCGCCAATCACAGGTACTGAGACATGTTCTCGGTCCGCAGCTGCAGAGATCGGGAAATATCTAAGTGCCTGTGATTGGCGCTGCGCGCTGTCAGCTTCCTGGCGGGCTCGGCACGTGGAGCTGCGAACACGCCCGAGCCCATCACTAGTTACTAAAGCCTCAATTATGAATGAAAGGGAAGTGATCTACATCACCTCCTGTTCATTCATAGTTGTAGTTATAGTAAACACACTCTGTTCTCATGTTATGAATGATCAGGTACATTCAGTATAGAGGACTCCTGTTCATTTATAACAGGGAATGAAGAAAAAGAGATTGAGGACCCAATATTTCCCCCGAGCCCATGTACGTTTTGTAGCGCGTTCAACGCTCTACGAACGCTCTACAAAACGCTCAAATATGAAAATCCCATTGTTTTCTATGGGTATGGTTCACATGCCGTATTTCAGGCCGTCTGAATGCGCTACAAAACGGCCTATGCCTGAAAAAGTACATGAGCTTCTTTGCAGCGTTTTTGTTGCGCATTTCCATTGGGATACAGCCAAGTAGCCCTCGAAAACGTGCGTTTGTCGCGCGTTTTTTTAACCGCGAATCACGGTAAAACCTCTCGTCACGAAGCGCGCATATTCGATACGCCTAGGTGTGAACAGAGCCTCATAGTTAAGGCAGGGCTCAAAATTTCAAGTCCTGAGCTACTAGCCAAGGTACTTAAATGCATTTTTGACATTTAACTCCAGAGTTTAGTGTCACTTTAACATTGGCAACATGACATTTCCATACCTGTAAGCAATTTGCAACCCTCCTTTCCCTCTCAAAGCCTGTCCGTAAAACTTCTATAAGCTTGCATATGACTGTCCTGCCTTGTTGCTAGTACGCTCGCCCCCAGCATGACAGGAGTAAATACTCTCCATCCTTCTCCCCCCAACCCCCTTTCACACAGCTCAGCCGCTCTTTTGACAGCAGTGTGAGCACACGGAGCCCATAGGTATGGCAACTACATTGTGAAAATTTTTCAAAGCTGCACACTTTTTCTTACTGGGGCCCCTTGACTGCAAAGGCAGTTTTATAGGAAAGGTGAATTTAGCATTTAACTCTCAAGAAAATCCATGAATATCCACGAGATTACACAAATGCTGCTTGGTAACATAGAATTAAGTGCAGCCAAACATTAAAGGAGAACTATGAGGCGAGTGCTTTTCACTCACCTCATAGTTCTAGCCGACCTGTGACAATGAGACTGTCACAGGTCAGCTTAGTAGATCGGGAAGTGAGCGAACACATACCGGCGTTTTCTCACCTCTCGATCCTGTCACAGCTCTCTGCCGTGACAGGGGAGGGACTGGATTCCCCCCTCCCCACTCCTCCAGCGCTGACTGGCGGAACGGACGGGGGAGGGGGCGGGTACAGCTGGCTCTGCCTCTAGATAGGCAGAGCCAGCTGTCACTCACGCAGCTGGGCAGATCCAGACATAGTCGTCAAGATCCGCTTCAGCTGCGGTGCCTCAGTATACCGCGAGCTGTAGCTCGCGGTATACTGAGCTTAGGGTGACGAGCTTAGGGTGACGGGAGGACGCTGGTTTGTGTTCTCCCGTTACCCTAAGGAGAACTATGGGGAAAAGCCCTAACCCCATAGTTCTCCTTTAAATAAAATACATATCATAAAGCAAGCCCTGCTCTCCAACTATTTCAAGTATCAACTATTTTTCACAAACACTGTCACTTTGATACTAAAGTAGCATTAGACAGCACAACAACAAAAGTTTGCTGTATTCAAAGTATCTAGTTGGAGCAACTGAGAGGAAACATAAAATAAAGTCTGGAGCGTTGTGGATTTTATTCACAGACCGCTGTCAGCTAAAAATCCTCTTTATTCCAGTTTATTTAGCAATAATTTTGTCATTACTTATGATATAGTAGTGCAAACATTGTTGTGTGGACAAACTAGGCTATTGGCAATATTGTCTTGCAAAAATTCTTTTATTTACTATGTGATCCAGGGGTGAACAAATTATAATGGAATTCAGGAGCCAGTCGGCCCAATCCAGGAGCCAGTAGTTTTTTTTTTTTAGAAGGCAGCTTCATTGACAACAACTAGAGAAAACCTCAAAAGTTTGGCACCAGCTGAAATTTTTTACGAAGCATTGGCTACAAACTGTTGGTGGTATTATGACGTAATATGACGGAGTGGGATCAGCACATGTTAAAGCGCACAGTGTGCAGAAGTCGCCAACTGTCTGCAGAGTCAATAGCTACAGACCTCCAAACTTCATGTGACCTTCAGATTGGCACAACCACAGTGCATAGAGAGCTTCATGGAATGGGTTTCCATGGCCGAGCAGCTGCAGCCAAGTCTTACATCACCAAGTGCAATGTAAAGCGTCGGTTGCAGTGGTGTAAAATACGCCGCCACTGAACTCTAGAGAAGTGGAGAATTGTTCTCTGGAGTGATGAATCACCAGGGCTTGAAAAATTTGACGGTGTCTCACCAGTCAGTCAAAAATGTCACCAGTCAGCATGACCGGACTATAGCCTTGCAATTTATGTTAAAGAATTTTGGGGACAGATAGATAAAAAAAAAAAAACACCAAACATGTCAAGCCCTAAAATTGCATGCGCCCGCGAAAAACGCCCATAGGCGACGATTAAAATGCTTTTACTGCTCATCAGTTTAGTGTTATCAGTGATTAATGGCCCTAGAATTATTGCTCTCACTCCGACGTTTGTGGCGATATGTAACATGTGCGACACAATAGGCGCAATCGTCGTTTTCGTTTTTAATTTTTTTATGCTTTATTTTTATTTTTTTTATGATTCTTTAATTTTTATATTACTTTTTTTTTAACACACAACTTTATTGCTATTACATGGGGGGCTAAGAAGCCCCCTATGGGATAGCCAATTTACATGACAGGTCCTATGGCATTCAGAAAATATTTAATGTTGGGGGTTTTAAGTAATTTTCAGGGCTAAAATGTGGAATATAACATGGGTACAAAAAATTAAAAAAAGGCCTCAGTCATGAAGGGGTTAAAGTCTCGAGTTGATTTCACACACACACAATGCAATGTCAGAATGCAATATCAAGACAGTCCTATAGATGGCTCTGGTATGATGGTTTCACACACTCAGGGGTCTATTCACGAAGCTGCCGAAGGATCTGGCCGTAGCTTCGGCCGATCCTTCGGCTAGCTTCGGCCCCAGGACCCCTTCGGTTCAGTAGAACCGAAGGGCTGCTGTACGGGCTATTCACTATAGCCCGTACAGCTCCCGAACCTAGCTGAGCGGCTCAGTCGAACTGAACGCATATGCATAGGCTCGGCTGAGCCGTGCTGAAAGCCAAAGCTGGCCGAGCGGCCAGCCATTGGCCGGCCGACAGCCTGCTTCTGACAGCTGGGCGGAGCCAGCCGTGATCTTACGGCTGGCTCCGGCCACTTGCAGAGAGATCAGCGTCCCTGGTTACCTGCTAACCAGGGACACTGATCTCCAAACAGCTAACTCTCCCTGGCGCCCCGGGAGCCTCCCGCTCCCGTCCGCCAACGAGAGAAACAATGCTGTGTCTTTTTTCTCTTTATTCTGTATTCTGACACGAGCGATGTCAGAATAGAAAAAAACAAGTCCCGAGCCTGCTGGGGACCTCAGGGCAGCCTTGTGGAGTTCCTTTGCGGCGCTGTTTACAGCTCCGGTCCAGCCGAACACCTCTTCCTTCTCGCCCCCCACACACAGCCCTGGTGAGACTTGCACGCATCGCTGGTAAAACCGCACACAATTCTGTTGAGACCGCACCCATCTGTACACAGCCCTGGTGGCACCCACACTTGCCCGCATGCAGCCCTGGGGGGACCACACAGCCATTGTGAGACACACACAGCCTTCTGAGATGCCACAAAGCACTATCACATTTTAGTGTCACATGACACACACAAAAAAAAAAAGGTATTGGTAATTGGCAGCGGCGAGTACTTTAACCACCTCCCGTCCATTGGCCTTTCCTGAACGGTCAGACGAGAGCCTTATAGGAGCGGGAGGGCATCTTAAGATGTATTTCCCCTCCCCCCGCTCGTGTGTAGCGCCCAGTGGGGAAACTGTCAGAAATTTAAACAGCCAGCGATGTTAGAGACACCCAATTGCTGGTACGGGTGTGCACCTCGGTCTTTAAGTGGTAAAAAAGAAACGGTAAGCAATCATAAAAAAAAAATGGTATTGTTGCATCCCTAATATAAACATATATTATATATAAATACAAAAGTATACTTGTAATTGTATAGTTTGTCCCATTAAAAATTACACTAAAAATTATTTTTTTGTTACAAGGCATAGCAAAGTTAGTTTTAAATGAAAAAAAGTGGGGGGGGGGGGGGCTTTTTGGGACAAAAAAAAAAAAAAAAAAATGATTTAAAAAAAAAAAAAA